GTGGAAAAGAGTTATGGATGTTTAACCGATAGTAAAGACAATCAATTCTATTATAAGATAGAATAACAAAGTACCAATCTTGTTAAGTAAGGAACTTGTAAGAGAGTACAGTATAATGAGTTGACCACAACGAGTGTAATAATGAAATCCAACACATTCTTATACCCATTGCTTCCAGTCTTGCCATCACTGCCATCACAACTTAATCCTGGCCTTTCCTGATGTCTCTGATAGCTGCCATCACATAAAAGCTGCCATCACATCGCTAGTCCTGATGGTTGGTCTTGGCGTGATGTCAGTCACGTGATCGCTGAGCTGCCCCGCGGCGATCCCTGTCATGCATCCCAAGTGGTTTCTCAACCCTTTGTCGTCAGCGCCTGGGGGGAGGATCCTTCCTCTTGTTACTTGTAACATTATCCCCTTCTTTATAGTTATCGTCTCAATACCTTAGAACATCGTAGTTCCGTGCTAGTTTGTGAGGCGTGGGTTGCATATAAGGTCGGTGGCCCCCGGGCCATTGTATCCGTCTCTTCCTTTCAGCCTTCCTAATCATGCCCAAGGTCCCGTCGTCCCGCCGCAATCGTACCCAGAACTCGACCGCAGAGCGTCGCGCTCGTGCTGCCCGTGTAGAGCAAGAGTCTCTTGAAATGGATTTCCGTTGTAAGCGTTGCGAGGAAAAGAATCTTCGTTGTTTTGTTGAGACGACCTCTAGTCGTTGTGCTGGTTGTATTTCCGTGGCTGCTAAATGTAGTTTGTTTGTTTCTAAGCAAGAATGGGAAGAGGTGCAGCGCGCGCGTCGCGAGAAGGAGTTGGAGATTGCGCGGGCAGAGGAGCGTCAGGCTCTTGCCATGGCTAAAACAGCTCGGCTTCGTCGAGAGTTGTTGGAGGTGAAGAATCGTGAGCATACTTATGCGCGTCGCGATCTTGCCTTGTTGAATCTCCAGGATCGCGCAAAAGAGCAGGTCGAGGGGGATTCTGCCCCTGGTACGGACCTTCTATCAACCGGACCATCGCTACCCGGACAGTCGACTGACTTGGGCTGGTTACAGGCTGATTCTTCTTTCGATCCTTCTTTTGACTACTTTCTTTCCCTTGAGGACCCGGTCCCTTCTTCTCTGGATGTTTCTGGTGGTATTCACGTACCAGTGACTTGCAGTTCGTTAAATTTTCTTCTGGTTCCCAAGTGTTATAGCTCTCCGGCCATCCTTGCCATTTGACCAAGTATTTCCACTGACGTCCAATTTTCTTTAGGTCCTTGACTTCTTCGACGTTATACTCATCGTTCTCGAGTTCTACGTTTTCTGCTAGTTTGGCGTCTGGTGGTGCTGGTTCTAAAAGTTTTACGTGGAATATGGGGTGAACCTTTATGCCTGGTGGTAGCCGTAGTTTGTAGTTTACTGGTCCTACCTTCTCTAGGATTTTGAACGGTCCTATTCGGAGATTGTCTAGTTTTTTGCTTGGTCGTTTAGTTTTCAAGTTCTATCTTAACAGGAAAACTTTATCCCCCTCTTTAAAGGTTGGTCCCTTAATCCTTTGCTTATTCGCGGCATTGGATGACGTGAGGTTCCTCTGAGCTATGTTCTTGCTCAGTTGCTCGTGCAGCTCTCTCAAGAGTTGCGCCTTATCATCGGCTCCTACCGCAATACTCTCGATATCTTTTGGGTCTCGATAGGCGGTTGGCTCGTAGCCGTAATTCGCATAGTAAGGCGAGTGCTTTGTCGTTGCGGATCTCGAGCTGTTGTAGGCTAGCTGCGCTGTCGGCAATAGCTCTACCCAGTTATCCTGTAACTTGTTCACATACATTCGGAGATACTGCTCCAATGTTTGATTCGTACGTTCTGTCTGGCCGTCCGTTTCTGGGTGGAAGCTTGTCGAAAGCTTTCGCTGGACGCCTAGCTTTGCTAAGAACGTGGTCCAATACAAGGACGTAAACAGCTTGTCTCTGTCCATAATGGATTCTTCAGGTACTCCGTGTTCCAACACGAGTGCCTTGGTGACTTCGTACGCGCATTCTTCTGCCGTAATAGTCTCTTCTATAGGTACGAATTTCGCAGCCTTAGTCAATCAGTCGACGATTACTAGTATGCTATCGCAAAATCGTGCTGATCCTGGTTCTAGCGATTTCGGGAGCTTCACTATGAAGTCCATTGTTACGCTGCTCCATGGTCTCGTTGGTAGCTGTAAGGGTTGTAACAGGCCGTAGGGCTTATGTCTCTTGGGCTTGTTCTAGTGACATGCCAAACAGTTGCCTAGGACTTCCTGCACCTTCGCTCGCAAGCGTGGTATATCAAACGTCTTTTTTAGTCTCCTGACCATTTCGTCTATCGCTGCATGTCCGTATTCCGGGGACTCGTGCAGGGATTTGATGAGTTCTGTTCTCATATGAGGAGGCACGTATGTTCGTGTTCCTTCCCTCAAAGCCGTGAGTTCTCTCCCATCGTTTGTTACTTCTGGCGGGTATTCTGGTTCCTGTCGCCATTGGGTGGCTTTCTCTTGCCATTGTTGCTGAAGAGTCGTGACTTGGTGAGCTACCACGCTGACCTTGACTAGGTCGGGCTTGTTGTACCTCAAGCTCCCGTCAGGCATCTGTCTGAGTACTGCGTCGTGTGGCTCCCTGTGTCCTTCTTCCCGTAGGTCGGATCTTCGGCTCAGAGCGGTCGGCGGCTCCGTTGAGCGA